TGTTTTTGGCTTCTTCCGCCGTTTGACCTTCTTATATTCCTCAAGCTCCCTGTCCGTGTCCATGTCAGTCCGATCAGATAGCGCATTGTATTTGTTTTTCAGGGTCTCGCTCGTTAATACTTCCATTTTCATTATGCGCCTGCCTGGGAATATTCTTGTATTCTTCAATATGCACAGCACTGTTTTAATAAAGTAATCTAAAGACTTAGAAAAATTTAAATTTAGAAAAATTCACTTGCTAATGTGGCTTATCCTCTAACCATTAGCAACACCAATCCGGTGTTTGGAAAGAGGAGTCAGCAGAAGGCACGTTTACCTATAATTTTGACAAGATATTAAATATCTTGGGAGAATTACACCCGATTGCTTTTAGAAAAGCACGATTTTAAATCGATATCGGGTGAATTCCAGACTTTATACTTTACACAAAAATTGAATGACATTCACTCTTTAATCCCCATATCGCCTGGAACTTTTTAGCTATCTATTACAATAAGCCCTTAGCTTCTATATTATAAATGCTAATAGCTTACAAGTTTCATTTTCGCAAAAAAAAAGTTTAATTTTAATTTGTTGATAAAAGAGAGATAAAGAAGCAAGAAAGTTGTAATACAAATATAGCATGGCGCAAAACTGTCACTGGTACATACTTGTACTTGCAATTTATTCAAATATTATTTTATTTCCAATTAATATTCATCGGTAAAGAAGTACATAATTTGTATTTTTAAATAAAATATTTTTTACATAATTTGTACATAATTTGTATTATTAAATAAAATATTTTTTCAGAATTATAGACATATCTACGTGTATTTAAGAATATCTGACTTTCTGAGTTAGGGTACTTTAGTATTTAATATCAAAATTTACATAGGAGAAAATTGTAGAACGTAGCGTAAAATAAAATGCATGAATATATTGAGCGTTACAAAATAAAAAATAAATGAACGGCAAAAAGATTTATTCTTACGAAAAAGTTTTAGAATAACATATATAATTTGCATGCATCACAATTAAAATATTCAACAAGCATCTTTAATCATTTTTACCTGAACTATCAGTCTTAAGAGTTGATGTTGAACTTCTAATGTAGTTGTAATCTCTTTCAGTCTTCTCTTCTGCTTTTCTAATTCTGTCGTAACGTAGTCTTCGTGATTTTCCAAAACCATTTCTAATCCTAAACATAAAATATTCGTATAGATTATCGCATAAAGTATTCGTATAGATTGTTATAGATAATTGAGTTTTGGATGCAATTAGTCCAATGATTTAACATTTGTAATCAATGAATATAATAATGGTGTTCAAATATTCTATTTTATAATAAGATTTTAAAATTTATCCTAGAAATCTAGAAGTTGCTAGAAAATATTATAAGGACTACTTAAGCCCTATAACTATTTGATGATTTGAAAGCTTATACATTAAGATTTATGTGTGAAATATTCTAAACAATCTAACGTAATAGTTTTTGAATGGTACGTGGTCTTTAAATACGGAAAGAAATCAGCGGAATTTTATTCATATTTTTCTGTTTTGCTACAAGAAAAGTAAAAATGATGTTTTAAGCCAGAATGAAATTGACAGATGTGTTTGAAAAACAAAAGATATTGGAAGTACGACAGTGCCAGAACTAGTTTGTTAAATTTTGTTCCAGATTTTCGAAGTAAAACTTTTTTAGGCGCGATTAGGGTGTAAATCGTCATTCGCTCTCGATGAGATCATTTCTACACGAGTCGATTTATGTGAATAGAAATCAGTCATTGTATGCATACCGGCATCAACGTTATATGCGTACCGGCATCAATGTTGTATGCGTACCGATATCAACAAGGAAATCGGCATAAACAAAATAAATATTTTATAGTTACATCGTAGTACATATCTTGATTTAATGAAAAATGCCCGAATCAGAAGAATATTTTACCCTGTTCCTTGAAAATAATAAAACAAATTAAACATTTAGACCGTGTACTAAACGTAAGATTATTTATTAGAAATTATTTCTATATTATTCGTAGCTGTTCAAAGAATGAGATTATAACGCCAGCGAATAAGTAAAAAAATAAAAGCAGTCAATGAATGTATGTTAATTTTAATTACATGAAGTTCTTCAAACACAATTATATGATAAGTGACGTTGAGAAAACAATATTTGTTTAGGCGTTTTTAACATAATCCACTGTGTGAACGAATATTATAGAATTTATTAATCAGCAATGAAAGTTCATTTCTAAATGCTAATTACAATGACAAACCGATCATGTCATATTTGAAGTATGACTTTAAGTAAATTATTGTTTTGAAATGTAATACATATTTTTAATGCTATTATAAATATATAATTTATAATTTATTATTATATAAATGTGTATAATGGATGGTTGACACTAATAAATGTGTGCATTACGAGTGTAACCATATTACTAATAAACATTATTCAAAATTGTAATATGATGTATTTATTTTTACTTAAATGCCATCTTGTACAGTAGCAAATTAGTTGTACTTCAATCGCGTGTGAACCTTAACGCGCACTCTTTTTTTCAAAGATGCACCACATTCACGATAAAGCTAATAAAGACGCAATAAAGGCACTAGTTGATGCAAACCGGCAAATAACAACAAATGAGATCGCATTGAGTTTGAATTTAACAAATTCAACGGCTTAAGAGGTCTTGAATGTGGATCAACAGGTGTTGATTGGTTCTGATCTAGACAAGGTCTAATGTATTGCATCGACGCGCAACCTCACATATGTTTGGTCAATCGCCAAAAGCTTTTCCAGCTTGAATGGCACACAATGCCACAGCCAGTATGTTATCCAGAGCCGGTGTCATCGAACAATAATTTGTTTAGATCACTAAAAATTTTTTTTGTCGGTAATACCTTCACCTCAAATAGGAAGGTTGAAAAACACCTTCATCCGTTATTTGTCAATAACGAAAAAAAAAATTGATTCCGCAATTATGCTACTACCAGAAATGAGACAAAGTAATATTGACCAAAACAGACAGAATATAATTTGTTACAAAAAATGACTTATCAAAACGTCGATAAAACGAAATTACTTTCTGAATGATACAATAAATGTTACAATTATTGCAAAAGAGTGTCAGTAAATAAAAAATAAAATTGTCAAATATTAATAGTCGTTTATTGACTATATTTTATATATTAAGTTAATAATAATAGCAGCTGAATATTTTAACAAGCAACAATATCACATACCTTCATCCGTAAATGGATTGCTGAACCATTTTCTCAAAATGGAATCCAAAAATCCAAGCTTGCTTTTAGTGTCATTAGGGTACTCTATAAGCTCTATCTTATCGAGTTTTTCTAGAAGTATCTGAGGTAATTTGCTTTCTAATTCCGTGTGTAAAACGACCTATAAATAACAGATGAAGATATATTTTTTTATCAAGTTAGGTACGTCAAGATTCTTTTTCTATCGCTTATTTGCAGAGAAGAAGAAACTTTGCAGGATAAGCCATAGCACAAAACGGAACTTAGATCCAGCAAATTGTTGAAGAACATTTTTTATTCAATATGCAATTTATTCGTATATTAATTAAATATTCAATACAAATAATATTATACTAAAAATATATTGTATTAAAAGTGAAGGAATTCATTCTAAAAGCATTTTTTGTACTAGAACCGACATCGGAAAATATTTTGCGAATTATCTAATGTCGCTGCTCCAACGTTTTCTAATAAAACCTTTTATCAATTCTGTTTAAACAAAAGGTTAGGTCTCACTAACCAGTAATTGAATTTATCATTATATAGTTCAGTATTTTTTTTAGATGTTTCACATTTTATAAAAAAATCATCTTTCACACGATTACTGTAAAATCGTAATTAGTAAAACATTATTGCTGAAATTTAATAATTAACGTATTGTATAATTATTGTTGAATAAAATATTTTCTAGTAAAAACTAAGTAAAAACAAAATAAAATTCAAAGCTGAAGTCTTCAAATTTTGATAAAAATATAAAACCTTAAAAACAAATAAAATGCATTTAAAAACTTCTTTATGGAATATACAGAAAGCCATATGAGCAAAATCTAAAATATAATTAAATAAATAAAAACAAAACTAAAAACCAGAGAAACTACAGAGAGGCCAGACTATATATTATACAAAATCTTACTGAATAAGAATCTAAAAGAAACAAAACCTAGAACTCATAAAATTTTAATAATAATTCACCTGCATGGCCAATCGTTTCAACTGAGCATTTCTTCTCACAGACTCGATATCACCGACTGCCAAACCAATGAGCAGATTCATCAGCAGAATCGGCATCAAAACCATGAAAATTGCTGAAATTTATGATAAATTAGAATCTAAACTCCAAAATCATAATAAAGATTATGTGTGTGTTATCGCTTTTTATTTTTATAAAAATCAATAAAATTGCTTGATTAAAAAATTAAAAAGTTATAAATCAATGAAAAAAATCAATATGTAACAAACCAATAAAAAATAAGCACAAATTCAAAGACATTGTTTATTAAAAAAAAAGACAAAACCACAAATAAAACTAGTTGGTATTGGTATTTTGCCTTGAGGCAAGTTACATGAAATTCCCGATATGTATATATAATCGACTTAATCAATGAAAAATAAATTAATTTTTGAGTGATTGAAAGTATTCCGACTGAATTTATTACACATAATTCAAAATGAACGAACACGTTAACTCGGAGTATTTTCTAAAAACAAATTTTTTAAAATCAATCATTTTTTTATAATTGAACCAGTTTCCGTAGGACTTTAATGATTTAGTATGTTTATTAAGACCAAGTACTCTATCGTTTTACCAAGTAAGTAAATCGTTCGTAAATCTTTCGAACAGCTTTTGGCTTTTTAAAATCGATTCGATAGTATGAGCTTAAATGTAAACAAAAAGTTCAACACTTTCTTCCAAATTACAAAGAAACGGCTCGGCCGATCGTGACAAACGATACTTCTCATTGAAATACAGCAAATGGCTTTTAAATTTCTGAAATCGGTTCAGGCGTTTTTGAGAAAACGTCGATTAACGGTCTAGTTTTGACAAATGCCAAAAAACGATACCAATTTTTGCAAACTTTGACGAATTTTTAAAGCTAAACGTGTTGCCGTAGGGCGGTAATATTTTAGTATGATCTAGAAGACTATGGTATCTATCGTCAAAAAAATAATAAAAAAAATCGTCAAAAATATTTTTTTAACACTTTATTACAAGAAAACGGCCCGGCCGATCTGCACCAGATCGGCGGTTTTTGAATTTTCAGAATCGATTCAGAATTGCGGGCTAAAACGAAAACTAAACAAAAAATCAACATAATGTTAAAATATCTTGTAAGATGTTCTGACAAAAATATGAATACTCCTTAAAGAAATTGATCCTTACTTACTATAAAACTCCTCACGTAACAGAGATCATATTCGTAAGTTTTTCATAATAGTTCAAATAAAAGGTAAACTATCGAAAACTGATACATATTTTCAAAGAAAAATGTCTTATATTGACGTGTATCTTTCAAACTTAAATTTTTTTCGATCAGTATGATAATGATAGTACTTGCACAATAGCCTCTCATAATACGAGAAATAAATCAATTTGCCACATGAAATATTATTATTTATAACAATGATAGGTACCTAGGATCAAGAAAGTCGGCAGTGGAAAGTCTAGGGTTCTTTTTGATTCTCCATAATAGGAATTGACGTAGGTTCCAAGGAAGTCGATCTCGCCCAACATCATTGCGAAAGTCCTCATCAGAGACATCGGAATGGTCTTGAAGGATAGATGTGTCTCACCCTAAAAAGTAAGAAAAGTTGATATAATAATTGTGGGTACTATATATAAAATTATATAATGAAATAGTCCATATACAGTGAATTTTAGTCAAATTTATATATTTTGAGTTTATGCCATGTAATTTTTGAAGTAAAACTTCTTTAGGCGCGACTAGGGTGTGAACCCGTACAAATGCAACGGAAGTGCGTTACGGCCGAGTCGAGTGCCAATGATTCGTCATTCGTGCGTATCGGCATCAACGTTGTATGCGTTCCGATATCAACAAAGAAATCGGTATAGATAAATAAACATTTTAAACTTAAATCGTAGTAAAATTTTTAAATTCTTGAAAAATGCCTGAATCAGAAGAATATTTTACCCTGTTCCTTGAAAATATTGATTAATAAGATTAATGATTAGTAAGTTTATTGATTATAAATTATTTCTACATTATTCGTAGTTTCTATAAATCTTTGTCGTTATTGAAATGGAAAATATTTTTAGGCAAAATAGATATTACAGCTGTTCAAATAATGAGATTATATCGCCAGCGAAAAAGTAAAAAAAAATACAAGCAGTCAATGAATGTATGTTAATTTTAATTACTGAAGTTCTTCTAACACAATTCCATGATGAGTGAAGTTGCAAAAACAATATTTGTTTAGGCGTTGTTTAACATACTCCACTGTGTGAACGAATATTATAAAATTTATTAATCAGCAATTACTTTATTTTTCTAATGAAGGTTCATTTCTAAATGCTAATTACATTGTCACCGACCACATTTGAAGTATGACATTAATTACATTATTGCTTTTAAATATTATACATATTTTTAATTCTATTATAAATATATAATTTATAATTTATCATTATATAAATGTGTATAATGGTTGACACTAATAAATGTGTGCATCACGAGTATTATCATATTACTGATAAACATTATTCAAAATTGTTATATGATGTATTTATTGTTACTTAAGTCCACATCAGGGGGCCGTCTACATCCTAGGGACGGTTGTGACAGCGATTGGGGTCAGTAGTGACAAGCATAAAAATAGGAAATAAAAACAATAGATATTAACACCGTAATGGTTTATAGCAAATTATATTGTCGTTAAAAACTGTAATATGTAACATAACACTACATAAACATTTAAACAAAGCTTATGAATAAAATATAACAATATATAACAAAACATAATTTTTCTAACATTTTAACAAGAATTCTTTATGAATTTTTTTTTTTATTATAATAAATTTTCTTTTGCATTTTTTTCGTATTTTGTCTTAGTTAAGTTAATTTTTTTTATCTATTTAATCTTTACCCGAAAAAGACAAGAAATACATGTCACAACCGTACTCCAAAATTTGTCCCAACCGTACCCAACGCACACTTTTGAAAACAGAGCATTATTATAATTATATAAGCAAAAATTAATTGCTGATGAATAACTACTAATGTTCCTTTTACAACAAAATGGCCAAAAAGTAATCTATATGTTTACAATTAATAGATATTATTTAAAAAAATCGATTATAAAAACTTACTTTTGATTCTTTAAAAGTAATACGGTCTACTGATCATGTTAATATTAGAAAAAGTTCCTAACATTAGATAGACCGCAACTGTAGATTGTTCGAACAATCATTCTTTATCTTTCTACCTTTATGACGACTGTCACTATCATACCCTGGAACAACCGTACCAAGTCTCTCCTACTACCTTTTAAGTTCATTATATTTTTTACATAATTCGTTTTTGTTTTTCACATTTTTTAAATTTTCATTTTATACATATTTTCACGTTTCCTTAATTTTTGTATTTTCTTTCTTATAAAACAGGTCACATATTGAATTATGATTGTTTGAAAAGTTACCATTTCCAAATCAAGACTTTTTGACTTTGACTTTGCGAATATAATAAATTTCTAATTTTTTTATAATTTTACATTTTTTAGTTTTTAAAACTTAGCTTTTGATACTAAATAATACTAAATAATAATTTACTTATCAATCAATTTATATATACCTTCTACCTCAACATTGTATCTATTTTTTAATGATAATACATATTAATAGTGATTTATAAAATATTGAACATCATCTACTTACTCCTGATAGAAGAATATAGAACGCCAATCCGAAAGCGATTATCAAAATCGAGAACACTAGAAGAACTTTGATAAGAGTCTGCAGGATCTCCAAAAACATTACCACATAGATTCCAGCCTGGTCAAATCTTTGCAGATACAGCAACAGATTGAACCAACTCAAAAAAACCGTAATCGAGGCCGAGGAGACTTGCAAATTATCCACTTTTCCACCGATCAACATTGGTACAACCATGATAATGGACGAGATGTATAAGGCCCATGTGACCAGGTTGAAAGGCTCTAGCAGATACTGCCATTTTTGCTGGTAAATCTGACATACCTCCTTAATAAATTGGACAGATATATAAATTATGATAAATACGGCACTGGTGTACATGATAGGGGCGTAACTTGAGCCTTGTTTTGAAATTGTGCTGTTTTGACTAATCATTTTGTTCTGGAACATTTTCAAAAGCGGCCCTGTGTAGTTTTGATTTCTCGAGTCGGTGCAGTTCCAGTAATTTAAAGTACGGCCTTTTATCTCAGGATTGAGATTCGAGGAATAAACAGTAACAAACATAAGAAAAATACTATAGAATAAAAGATTTATTAAATGAAAATATTTTCCGTAAGAGTTCCATTTCATTTCCAGATACTTTTGGCTGAGCGGATGTGCTAAGAGTTCCACGCGACCATGGGCGACCATAGCCTAAAAGAAAATCGAACTAGGTTGAGAATATTTTTCTAAATAATTAGTCAAACAAAAAAATATATATATTTAATAATTAAATATATATTAAGTTATATATTTAAAAATATTTATTATCTTTTTCACTTGATGTTACCTTCTAGTGACATCACCATTCTAGAACGATAAATTTCAAGTTCAAATTATATATGTATATATATATATTTATATATGTGTAAGTTCTTGTGGGGCGATACATCAAAAAATAAAAAGCAAGGATTTATAAATTTATCTTTAATTCCAAACGTTTCGACATTCAATTTAATGCCATCAGCAGTGGATATTAACGTTGGTAGGTTACATCTAAGATGTGTACACAACACTAGGAATTAGCACTAACATTTATACATCTAACTTGTCCACACTATGAATTTTTATCATTTTTTGTAAGATGTAAAAAGAAAAATGATAGTTTTATTTGAACAAAAATGTGAGTAAAATTAAGTAATTTCTGCCACGACTTGTGAAATGTGCAAGCTCCGAGGCTTTAGTGCTAAATGTATCGCCCCACAAGAACTTACTCATATATCTCAACATCAAAATCAACAATTAAATCATATGTATATATATATATATATATATATATATATTTATATACTTAAGTTTATTTATTAGTATTTACTTATTAATCAAAAATATAAAGTGACGACAAACAACAATAAAAAACAGACGACTCAAATATAAAAGCAACACTCTTTGTCTACAGCTCGTTCAAAAACTATAAAATTATGTGCGAACAATAAATGTTTATACTAGAAATATATTGCAAAACAACAAATAATAAATAGTAACAAAATATATAAAAGATATGAAACAGTGCACAGTCATTCATGTATAAGCAAAATACATTAATTTAATCGAAAAAAAAATTACCTTCATAGCCAATAAATAGCACCAGACAACACAATAAACCATCCTTTAAATAAGAGTAAAAATATCGCTTGATATTATTAAGAATTTGATATTGTTATGAAACTTACAAATGACATTCGTCAAAAACGTTAATTTTTTACTACCGTTGAATTACCTTTCCCAAATTTAGACGTTTTTCCAAAAAATATTACAGTGTTGTAAACTTAACTTGACCTTTTGATATATTTTAAAGCCATTGCTTATGATTATAATTATTAGAAATCATTAAAATATTCTTTTTTTCGAATATGTTTTTTATGCAATTTCCACATGTTCTTTCTCTGTACATCCACTAATATTTACATAATCGTTTTATGATTGATATTGCCGAATCCGAATCAATTAGAGTTTTGAGTTTGAAGTCGGACACTTATTCTGTTTTAACTTTTTAGGCCGGTGTAGTACTATCTGGCTACACCTGAACTTTTTCGCGGTCATAACGGGTGGCCCAATTAAAAATTTAAATTTAATTTTGCTATACAATGAAAACGGCTCAATATTTTTCAATGGTTGAACATTTATTTAATAGGTTGATGACATTTATTTATGAAAAATAATTTCGGTCAAATGACCACCACGGCTGACTCGGCAGTAGTCCATTCAATCCACCCAATTTTTGAGTACATTTCAGATTGTTTCGGGCATTATCGCAGCAATAGCAGCTTGGATTTCGGTCTTGAGGTCTTGAGATGTTTCTGGATTGTTAACATAACATTTATCTTTCACCGCTCCCCAAAGATAATAATCCAATGGCGTCAAATCGCAGCTTCTTGGTGGTCAATTCACATCAGCATTTTTGCTGATTATTTGATATCCTCTGCTAAACAATCTTTCGCCCAATTTGCAAACCGTAGACGGCTCGGATGGTCAATTGGCTTTAACTGTTTCCACATATTGTGTTTCTGGAAGTTTATTTTTGTCGATTTTTTTTTAAATTTCTCACAGTTTGAGTAGAAGGCTCACCACTTTGGAAATAAGTTTTTAATATTTCCCAACTTTCTTCAAGCAAATATCGTCTCATTTCGTAAAAGTCAAACTGTCAACTAAATATTAGTCACATCATGGTCACATCAATGAGATTATTTGACGTTTTTAAAGTCAAACAATCGGTAGTTAAAATTCTAAACACTAAATGGACCACCCTGTATGTACAATCACTCTGTTACTTCCCCGTTAATCCACACTTGCAGCATAAACCCCACTTAGCAAGTAGCCCAATTAGAAGAGATTTGGCCCAATCGTCCACAGCTTTAACATCTTATTTCTTAGTCTGTTCTAGTACCAATTATGTGTGTTCCTCCTACTTACAATTTTGGTACGCTCGACAATTCGCCGCTTTCCGCTGCAGTCAATGAATTCATTACTAGCAATAGTGATGTTAAATCTCTAAATCTATTATTGCCCGTTCTTGAAACACCGGGTTTTCAAATTTTGTTATCCGATCGACCCCTTGTATTTCTAGCCTGTTTTACTAAAAATTTGTAGTTCTTACATATTCTCGACTCAAAGCGCTTCAACTTAGACAACTGATCTTTGGTGTTTCGAAAAAAGCAGTGATCGCCCCCTAAAGATTCTGATACGAATAGGTCGCAAATTCTTTTTTTTTTCATTATTATTATCATTATTTACCATTCAAATTACAATCTGTCTTAATAAAGACATTTAGTAATTGAAATGTTACAATATATGGTTTATTTAGAAAGATTGCCTAATGGTAATTCTTTCTAGTGTGAATATATGCTGTTACTATTTGCTGATTACTATATAAGTACTTAAATAACTAATGCTATATAAACTCATATCTATAACTATCACAGTCTAAATAAAGAAAAACAAAAAGAAATGTAATAAAAAACAATTAAGATATGCAATCAATATGTCAATTCTGATAGTTCCGTCCTCTTCAGCCTTTTTTGATGCGTGACATTATGTAGACTTGCTCCGAGCTCAATGTTGAATCCATCGATTTTATTTTTGTAGTTTTGGGCAATCTTTTTGATTTCTACTTTTACTGTGAGAATACGTGTGTCTTGGTGAATTAGCCAGGTGGGCACATATATTGGAGCACAAATGGTTTGGCGTAATACTTTGTTTTGGAAAAGCTGGATTATTTGTATGTTGCTATTCTTTGCTAAACCCCATATGTGAAGACCGTACGTCCACACTAGTTTCAGGATCACTTTGCACAATATCGACAGCGTTGAATGTCGATAGCTTTGAACGACTGCTTAGTAGCCAGTGATATTCGAGTTGTTCGCGCTTTTGTGGATGTGCGTCTTCCAGTTTAATTCTTTGTCTATGTACATTCCCAAATATTTAGCGTGGTCTTGAATTGGTATTTGGCTGTTGCGAAGTACAACGGGGGGACATGTATCTTTTCGAAGCGTGAAGGATACTTGGGCAGGCTTCGAGTAGGGGTCGCAAATTCTGGCCTTGAATTAAACCACTTGCGCGCATTCCGTGTCAGCTATTGTAAACATAGCCAATCTCTTGTACGGAACAACATAGGTTGCCTGAACAGCCGCAATATTTTTCAACTAAATTCTAGGTCTTCCTCAGACGCGCCGCCTGACTATGATGCCAAGCTCATGTTTGTTCCTGTTGATTACATCTAACACAGTTCTTATAATGTACCAAGGCGAATGCATTGAAAAAAAAACAAGTTTTCGCCGCCATGCTTTTTTCATTCGGATCTATTGTATTTTTTCTCATTCAGCGTTATAAAAGCGACCAACTAATAATTTTTAAAATGATAGGAAATCTGCTACAATGTTAGGCTTTTCTACGCCGGCGATTACAAATTTCTAAAAAAAAGTAGGTAGTCATTTTGGTGTCTTTTGCCATATATAATGTGTAGTCTGTTTACGGATGCTGCCAATTGAGTTTGCTGCGCGGGTATACACATATATCCGTGCTTGTATTAACTAGACATTCTTGTTTAGATGCCTCGTCCACTACTGATAGACGGTTTGTTGAAGTAATTGATTGACAGTCGTGCGCCGCTTTTATGAATTTTTTTGATTGATTGATTTTATAAGTTTTGTTAAAAAATTTAAATGAACATGGTTTATTGCAGTTTCGAGCTATTTCACCAAATATTGAGTGATAATGGCAGAAACCACGTGGAAATGGGTGTGCAATCTTCGTACTTAATAGAACAATTCAATTTCATGAGTTCAATTCATGATGGCGTTTTGTTTTCGAAGTTGCGAAATTTATGAGATGACATTCTCCATTAGTTTGTCTGTGGATAATATTAGCTTATCAACTTTTTACTTATCAACAATCCGCGATTTCATTTAGCTCGGGTGCCGATATGATGGCTTGAATGATGGGCGGCAGTAGCCGCTTCATTCACAATGCCTTTATAATACTGGCGTCGATATTCGGTTAGCCAAAAACTATGGTAACCGACTCTCACCGATTTCTTGTCGTCCATTAGTAGTTCTAGTTTACATTTCTTGGAAATCGATACGCTCTTAATGAGCGCATGTTTTAGAAACTCGTATTCATTCTCTAGTAATGGTTTTATAATAATAAATTTGATTTTGAGTGCATACTGACTACCTAAATATGCAAATTCCCAAAGTAAAAATTTCTAGAATCGGCCGAAATAATGGAAAGGGCAAATTGCGATTTAGGTGAGTTAACCAGTGTTGAGTCGATTTGTGCCAAAACAGATAAATTTCAACACCACACATAAAATTGTAAGAAAGATAGTTATTTGTACATCTCCGGTTTTCAAATAATGTGATTGATTGTTCCGACTTCAGGGGTTGATTCAGATTGTTCGATTGTCTACAGATGAACATAATTTTGACTATGCAATAGTAGTTTTTATTTCTAAAAATATTTTTTTAAATTCTATTATTATTGCTTTGAATTTTTGTTTCTGTCCTAGTTTGATTTGTTGAATGATGATAACATACATCAAATATCGAAACGTATTAATCCTAATTGATAAAGAATGTATATCGTTTAATTATATATGTATATATATGTATATATATATATATATAATTATATATATACATATAAATTTATGTGTATATACGACAATTGATACAAAAAAATAAGATTGAACACCGTAATATATGTTAGAAAATAAGCCAAAAAGCCCGTAACCCGACACCAAAAACTCCACCAAACCTTTAACTTACATTGACAACTTCTAATGGTATTGGTCGCCAATTTGGATCGTTTTGTGTTTGTCTGATTTCTTTGATATTTTCGGCAGATTTTTGATAAGCGGTAAAAGAATATTTTATCTAGAAAAGAACAAAAAATATTGGTGATAAAGTGTTCCTTATCAATTGTGACTTACATTAAGGGCTGGAAGGGGTATTGGTTCCGATATGGCAAGGGCATCTCCTGTTTTCTCGTCCATTTGAGCATACATTGTCGGACATTGCAAACAGGTAAATGAATATTTCACCTACTCGACAAAAAAAAATTAAAAAATTATGTAACAATTTTGGTTTATTCATGTAAGGTTTTGTTAACTTCAGCGTCCGAATTATGTATGGTGCAAATATTAGGGTGGTCCGTATTTTTGATTTTCCTTGCTCCCAAGGGCTCAAATGGTTCCAAATTGATAAAAAACAATTCTCTGAAAGTTTTAGCTCTTAATATTAACTTTTAGATAGTGCGTAATTCAATGAAACTTCGCATGGAAATAGCATGAAAAAAATTTTGAGAATTAAAAAAAATTTTTTTTAGCTATAACTTATCGACAAATAAATTAAAAGTGAAAATTCGTGTCATTTTTTATTGAAAATTCGACGCAAAACAGGTTTTTTATAATTTGTTTTGTGGAGCGCCGAATTTTCAATAAAACTCATTTCAGAACATCAGAATTCATTTGCTCGCTAAATTGTATCTAAAAAACATTTCCATACAAAACTTTGATTAAATTGCGCACTATCTAAAAGACAATATTAAGAGCTAAAACTTTCAGAAAATTGCTTTTTATCAATTTGAAACCATTTGAGCCCTTGGGAGCAAGGAAATTCGAAATTCGAAAAATTAAGGACCACCCTAATATATATAATGCGCATTAAAATGCTCTATATAGATGTTCTATAAATAGATAACTTTTAAATTTTACACCATTTAATTTATACGATTATATTGGTAATTGATTTGTTAAATAATGCCTGTGATTTTATGATAAAATTTTTCTAAATCATAAATAACGATTTATAACAAATACTATCAATTTTGTATAGTGTTAATAATGATTAAATACTTTATTTTTATGAAATGGTATATTTTTATAAATATTCATTAACTGTTGTCAATCCGATTAAGTTTAGGACGCATATATAATATTTATTTAAAATTAAGTATAAGCATAAAATATTTTATGCAAAAAATGCATTTCATTTCAAAAGCGCTTTCATAATTAGTGAATGAAATGTATTAAACACGAGGAACGTTAATTTAGAATATCGCAATAAATCATACAAAATCAAATGTATTAAATTACAACTATAACAAATTCAATGATCAAGGATATCATAATCAAATGTAATAAATAAGCTCACAATTAAACTCAAGAACTAAATTATAGTTTGAAACTTTTTTTTATTTTATCATGTAATATTTTTTAAATTGCTGTTTTGTGTATATTTCTAACTTACATAAAAGGATTTAGAGTCCTTTTTGCAATTTGCCTTTGTTATGCATTTGTCCTGAACTGCTTCAAAAACCCTCGGCATGGAAGCAATGAGCGCCAATGTTACACATGGATGTTTATCGGACTTCAGGGCCATTACTTCGCCACCACTGGTAAAAAAAAGTTTATCAAAGAATGTGAGATATGCCTTTATACGGTTCAGAAACAGTTTTATTTTAAAAAAAAATTAAATAAATATTCAAACATTTTTGAAATGCTGCGCTAAGAACTAAATATAATTGAAAAACCAAATATATTTGTGACAAGAAAAATAAATTCTATCAGACACACAATAATAAAAAGTACGTTTTCTACGCCGTCGTCTAGAGACAAAATAGAAAAACAGAAAGAATGCGAGAAAATAATAATAATGCAGATGCTCTCCTACTTAATTAAAATAAATATAAAAGAAATAAAAACTCAAGAAATAAATTGTAATGCGATGCTCATGCAAAGTAAACTTGCCTTCGAAATATATCCAAGAAAATTAAAAAACAAAAAAGTATTTCAATAAAAAAACATGAAAAATAAATAAAATTTTTGCAATTGAAATGAATTGTGGCTCGAGATAAAAACCAAAAAGCCTTTTCCGTTATTAGGAACTAAATCCAGACTAAGCTCATACAAAAAGCTGCTTTTATATAAAACAATATTCAAGGCAATTTGGTGCTATGGAATACAATTAGGCGGTAGTGCGCATAATACTAATATAGACATAATACAAAAATTGCAAATCAAACTTTTGAAATTGTTTTGGGAGCGCCGAAATATGTCTCTAGACTGCTTCATCTCGACATAAATACACCTGTCAAAAAATACGTAATAACAAAAACAACGCATAAATAAAGAAACAAGCTCAACAGTCATTCAAATTTACTAACAAACTCCTAAACAACTAAATTTACTAACAAACTAACAGAAAACTATCGTCGTAGTCTAAAGAGAAAATCGCCACTTGATTTAAGTCATCAGTTTATAAGTAAAGTAAGTAAGTTTTTATTATTGTCATTAATATATTGTTAATATTACTGGTAACAAATGGAAAAAACAACTATTGGATAGCACTATTGGATAGAGAAAACAACTTTTAGGATATAGTCAAAAGGAGCACGCTTATGGGGATTTTAAAAACTTTTGGCTTTAAAATTAGAGAGGCCTCAGGCTAATCTAGAAACAAAGCGTAAAAATTACAATAGAACAGAAAGTAGAAATTAGAGTTATTTCAAGGGAGCAACCTAAATATCAATGGAAGTAATTCTCGTGTATTTATGCATTTATATTTTAGTGGCATTTAAAAATAAAAGTAGTACTTGAAAAAATGGAGAATACTGATAATTGATGACTAATAAAGAATTGAAACTACAGGACTAAATACAGGAAACTGAAAGCCAAAGCACAGGACTCGGAAGCATGATAATAAAAGCTTGGAAAGAAAAATGCATGAAAATGAATAAAAGGTGATTAATAGTAACAAAATGGTAAGGGCATAATAAACAAAAATAATTGAGCAATAAATAACAAAAAATGAAAAAAATAATTGGGCAATTGATGCTAAAAATATATACGCCAGACTATTTTGAGGATGATTGTAAGAAAAATGCAAATATTTAATTTATAAAAGCGTACTGATCATACATTTTAAATTGAGAAACTAGATAAAGGACAAGAAAAATACAGCATCCGGATATGATAACATACTGTACAGGATGATAAAGAACTAGACAACTAAATTAAAAATTAAATTAGGGGGAAGTCCCGTAACACCGGACGTCACCTAAAGCCGGATACTCTATTTAACACGTATTATTTAAGCGAGTTTAAATCTTTTTATTTTAAAATACAAGTGAAAGGGGCGCGGGAACACACAGGTACAGGATCACGCGCCAAGACTCACCTGTAACGCACACGGCCACGGCGGGAGCAACCTAAATATCAATGGAAGTAATTCTCGTGTATTTATGCATTCATATTTTAGTGGCATTTAAAAATAAAAGTAGTACTTGATTGTTATCCGTTACATGGCAGAATATTATTAGATATTTTAAACAATTTTAGTAGGTACCACCAAATGAACAAAATTGTCTGTCCCTTAGCACCGGACACTAAGTCGTACCTTAGCGCCGGAAGTAAACATATTGATATTTCTTGTTAGAATTGACGTAATTTATTCTAATTATTTAATTTTGTTCTGTATGAGTGCTAACGGTCACTACATACCCCCATTTTTCGTATTTTCTAGTCGAAGAATAAAAATCTTATGATGAATGCTCCAGCTGAGAGCATCGGTGTGGCACAGCCAAATTAGTGTTTTTTTGCAATATCTAAGAATATTTGTCAAACACAAATGTGCAGACTTTCCAGAGTGCGGAGATGGCTACATATGTGTTAATTGCTGGTTATTTTGAATTGTCCGGTACTAGGTGCCACTTTGTAAAATCATATTTTGTGTTACCAAAGTTTGATTGATAGTATTAATTATTGTTTAGCAAAGATTGCGTTTTTGTTAATTTAGTTTGATTTCTAACTTTGTTATCTAACATAAGTCATAATTCAATAAACATTTCGTAAAATATTTTTTGATTTATTTATAAATAACCTTAGGTGCCCCGCACTCGGGAACTTACCCCTACTAACTGTCTTCAACGAAATATTTATAAATAATTGAATATATAAAAATTGGTGAAAAATAATAGTAGCTCCATGTGTCAATCGACCGGTTGTTTTTTCTTACCGTTCTTCATGTGTAACCATTGCTAAAGCAGCTTCAGGGAATTTGTAGTAAATTGCATAATCTATGGCACTCATATCTAAAGTATTGTATAACAATTTGCAGCCCATCGACAAAAGTAAAGACACAGCATTAGGTTTATTGTCCATTGTTGCCAAATGCAGTGCTGTATTCTAAAAAAAATCAATGTATAATACTTTTTGATGAAATTATGGTAATAATTAGAACAAAAATAAAACTATGATGATAAACTCACGCCATCTTTATCAACCTGATCCAGCAAATGTGAATGTACGGAATGCAGTAATTCGATTGTTTGCGTATAACCAGACATTGCCGCTAAGTGTAATGGATTCCGCCCGTTGTGGTCCCTGAAAAAATGTTCATTCATTCATTTTTAACAGAAATCATAATACAATAACTTTTGAACTATTTGGCTTAACTTATTCTCTCACACACGCACACTTACACTTTTAAATTCAGTAGAATCCGATTAGTATGACGCCGGATATATTGACAACCGCTTATTATGACGTAATCGCACTAGGAAGTTTGGTTTTCACATAAAATTCCTTACAGATTATTGTATTTAGTCGGATATATTGACATCGCTTACATTGACATGTCGCTTATAATGACCCATTTTTGAAAAAAAATATGTCCAGTTATAATGATCCACATGATTTTACATGATGTGGCCAAGTTTACGAAAGCAATTGCTATGTCTTTTGTGCACAATAGCACCAGGGACTGTTTTTACAATAAAATTATGTAAAGAAATCGATCAAAAATTATCGATTACTTACATTAAAAAAACACATTTGTATGTTTATGGGTAGGGTACACCAATTATTAATGGTCCACCACGGATATTTCATAAACAAATAAAGTCAGATTTTTTTTAACGATAATATTTGATAGTAGAGAGCAAAAAATGTATAACCAGCCATCACCTTGATTCTTATGACTTTGTTATCAGAAGATAAGCAGAACATGAGTGGGATGAAAAGGACCAGCTGAACCTTTACTTTGGCAAAGGTGTAAGCAATAAAGTGGTAAAGTTTTAAAAAAAGCAATTTTACAAGAGATTAATTAAATAAATTAATATTTTGCATTGGTTCAATAATGTAGCGTAAAATTCCTTTAAAATTTGATAATGAAATTGCATCTGTTAGGAATTATGTGCATTTTTTTCTGAACATAGTTCGATAGATGCTTGTTTGATGTGTGTTAAGTGTTTTAAAGTTGTTCGTTGGGTTTAGACAGTATAATTAGAAAGTCAAATTGGACCTTTGTGTCCCGCCCTACCCTATGTCAATTTTATTTTATATTAAATTTTATATTAAATGTTAATATGTATCATTTTTATTTTTAATTAAAATGTATATATAGGATTTTCTTTTAATTACTGAATCATGTAACATATTTACATATTAAAATAGTTTTTCTTCAGTATGCTTTGTATGACGACTGGTTAGTATGACGAGATTTCGGCGTCCCTTCGATGTCATACTAAGCGAATTCTACTGTACATATATAAAAGTATTGTGCTAACTGTTAATAAATCAATAGTTGCCACTCCAATAAGTAATTTACAATTTAGGTTCATATCTCCAAAGATTAGGTAGACTTAAATATTGTCTTTTAGAAACTTCTTTTTCAGTGCTTTTGAGACTGGTGTAAGGACTTTCTGCTTACGAATCATGGATTATCGGTGATCTATCTCAAATTAATACTAGTCTTATTCTGAATATATATTAGTCTACTATATCTTAGTCTGGGCACGCTGCATTAACACACTGTTTGACTTGCTTGCACCGCCCCAGAGTTTGATGCATAAATCGATATAGGTTTAATCACAACCTTATAAGTTAATAGTTTATTTTCAAAAGATAGATAATTTGCATTCCTGAAGCTAGTATAGTTCAGCAGTTCGAATTCATATCGTTATAATTTTTTGCGATTATGATCCTTTCATGTCAGTATGCGGTCAAGATGCATATTGCATAACTATAGGACATCGACACAATCAGTACTTGGAAGTGCCTGGCCATAAAAATGCACACATATATGATACCCCTTACTATCGTTGATTTTTATCCTTAATTGTTTAGAACTTTTTTGATGAGGTTTAAATACATTTATAAAATAGTCATAGATGCATCAACGTTTGTTGAAAACACAGAAATATAATCTGCGATTCTGATCTTATCGCTGTTGTGGTCAATTAAAAAGTTGAAAACTCACAAGTGAAGATAATATATTAAATCTAATGTAATGCTAAAGTTTCATAGTTGACACGGAGTTTGAGTATTCTTTTAGCAAGATAAAAATCTAAAATATTATAATAACCACTATAGATTTTTTGTAAAATGTTGGCCGGTAATATAATCTAGTTATTGATTTGAATATATATGCCAAAAAGATAAATCCTTTCTTCTTGTTCTTTAAGCATTTTTAACAACACTAAGTCATAACCTGGAGATTTCTCATATTTCAGTTTACCAATTTCTTCAATTATCATCTTTAAATTTTTTTATAATGGTTTCTGAATTGTGTAAAGAAATGACTGAGACTCGCTGCATTGTACCGCTGCATTGAATTTTGGTATTGAGCAAATAGGCCGCCTAAGATAGATGATTACATGATTACCTTCTTTCCATCGAAAATGTGTTTTTTGAATGTGTAGTTTTAATTCGTTTTTAATTGGTTTGCAGATTGAGCTATCAAATAATTATTATTTTTTTAGTTTTATTTGTTTTAATCTCTTTCAGTCTGGTTTTAAGCTTATGAAAAATGTTCTTCTCCAATGTTAAGTGAGATGACTGCCTTTTCGGCTTTGCTTTCTTTTTATCTGTCATTTTTAATTTTAATTTTATGTTATAGGTTTAATGCAAAATATTGTGACACAGCAATAAAACTTGATTACATATAACAAGATAACAATCAATTTCTTCAGTTGTACAATTTTAAATTTTTTCTCTATTTCATGACGTAATCTGTTCGCACAACAAAAAAATTTGACCGTGCCGAGTATTTTTTTCTAGTCACACTTAGGAGCCAATTTTGCGGTAACACAGCCGCTAACATAGCGTTGGTAACGCTATGTGATGCTTGTTTCTTGAAAGTAAAATCTGTCTAATTGCTGTACGATCACGCGTTCTACACCGTGATCGTAACTAACCGTATGTTATAAATGCGCATTTTTTCTTAGTTCGTTTGTATGTAAAACACGCCTGATTGCACTGCAAACTAGAGAGGCTTATGGCATCGTGCCGTAATGCAAATTGCTAGAACTTCCCGTACCAAAAATTATTTTTTTAGAAGATTAACATTTTTAAAAAATAATTACTCTGAAAAAAATAGATTTTTGAGAAACTATAAATTTTTGACAAAAAAACTTTTTGAAGAAAAATTTATTCTGAAATATTTTAGAAATTCTGAACTTTTTTCAAAGCAATCGTACTGCTTTAACTGCATAGAGACGAAATATCAAAGCGCGTAAGCCCCGCATCGCCGTCTAACGGATAAACATTGGTACGGAACCCATAGGAATGTAAACAAAATTAATACTCATTGTTAAAATCTCAATAAAATATCTGATAATTTGATGTGCATATGTTTAATGATCATTTTAGATCGCCAAATGGCATTTTTTTACTTTTTTCACTAGCTCTCCGAAACCGCTTGACCTGCCTACCTGAAAATTTGATCAGTTCTTCATCTTGTTAATGCAAGTAAAATGTTTTTGAATGAATTATTTCAATCGGACGCTCCGTTCTCTTAAAAACTGAGTTACCGTTTTTGGCACTTTTTACCCCATATCTTCGGGACTGCTAGACCTGCTTTTGCCAAAACTAATCAGCACGTCTCCTTATCAATACGAATCGAATGTTGTTTGAATTATTCAAATCGCTTCATTCGTGTTCCCGAAATCGTCGACGAAAATTTGTATCCGAACACACACACATACACGCACACACACACACACATATCCATTTTTTCTAAGATATGCCAAAATGTTCAGAAGGTTTTGAAACGTAAAGATATATAAAAATTTGCATTTTCGATTTTATTTCGAATACTATAACTTGCCCTACGGGAAATTAATAAATTGCATTTTCACAGTTTTTATTAATTTAAAGTCAAACTTAAAAACTATACGGTTCCTTCACCACTCTTTGCGATCTTGGAAAGCACTTTATGAATTTGCACCCTTTGATAATAAGAAATTTCATAAAAAGCGAACTAATGCATCAACTGATTTAACTTTTTATAGCGCTCAGTAAACTTTAGATATCGATTGCTCAAATTACTTTGCCGAAAAGCTCGACTGATCATTAACAAAACTTTAACAACCACGGTTTCGATTTCAATGGCCACATCGGACAGAATGATATCGAGCCGTAGTAATGTCAGACTTTCAAATTAGATTGACTCTATAATATGATATAGAACAAAAATAGCCCTCCTCTTCCTCTTTTGAAATCAATATTTCAAACTTGTTATTTTGTATTGTGTACTTTCATAGTTTCATTTACTATAACATGATATTAAAAAATTACCTATAAAACGTCTTGAATAGAAACACTTCTCTATTATTTAAATATATTAATAATTATAAATACCTGTGTAATAAAGCTCCTCTGTTTAATAAAAGATGAACAACTCTAGTATGGCCCTGCTTCGAAGCAATATGCAATGGTGTTAAACCTTCGCCATCACTTTCGTTGATAATAAATGTTCCTTTTTCCGAATCCAATAGTTGACGAACAGTATTATATCTACCATACCTGGTAAAAGAAAAATAAAAACAAATATTTGTTAGCATCCATGTAATATATTATAGGAACCAAAAAACAAAAATTAGATAAAATTTCAGGTGGATTGAACATATATATATATATATATATATATATATATATATATATATATATATATATATATATATATATATATACTAGCTGACCCGGCAAACGCTGTTTTGCCATCAAAAATATTTTTCCGCATTGCAAAAGTTCTTATAATATACATGATATATTAATAATAATGTTACATTTTTATTACACGAATTTCTTTACATTTTGATAATTAATTCGAACGCATCATAGTGCTTTGTTTATTTTAATTTTATTTATGTCAAATAGTGAAATATTTTTAATCAATGAATAAATTAGATTTTAGTCTGAATCATTGCAGTACCATTATCTAAATATATAATTTTTACATAAATATCAGATTTTTTACTTTTGCATTTAATTTAAAAATATTGAATGTCAATTTCAAATATCCAATATGCACTGAATTTTTAAATGCCAAAATATTTCCTTTTTGGTTCGAAATTTAATATAATATGATATAATTTATATCTATAATTTGATTGCCAATTTATTTGTATCTTATTGAAGTCATTAAAAATTCATTTTTTTTTTGAACTGTCATAATTTTGTTTATGATTAATGTTAAATTCAATATGTCGCTTTTTTATTGTGATCTATAATGTTTTAATCACTTATCATATAAATTTTCGACTGCAAATTGATATTCATACTATCCCTGAAACTAACATGGATAAAGTTCTGAGAAATCCGAGTCCAAATCTATAAAATGTTTGATTTTTGGCACTTTTATTAATTTTTTATCAATTTTTGTACTGTAAAATAATGGATGATTATTTATCAAAATTGTAATATTTAGACTATAATTTTAGATGTATACTTTTTATTTTGGCATTGAATTATTTTCATTAAAATCAAGTGAAACATAAATATATTTATTTGATATTTATATAACACATATAATTAAAATATGCATTAAAATCATATTGTCTATAAATAATATGTCATTTTATAAATAGTATTTATTACTTTGGTGCTTGATATGGGTATGAATTTGTAATAAAATATATTCTTTCTGACAAATAGTTAAAAACTTGTTATAATTTTCAAAATTATTTGACATTTCATACTTCAAAAATTAATTCACTGTTTTGTTTATTATACTTTTGTCATGTCAAATACGTCAATATTTATTTATTATAAATTAATAATTATTTTAAGTGATCAATGAATATATTATATGCTTGTTAAAATCATAAAAAAGTGCAAATTCAACACGGGAATATTGTGGAAATAAATATTTTTTTACATAAAGATCTGATTTTTGACATTTGCATTTCATTTCAAATTAATTATAACTGTCAAAATATTTTCTTTTGGATCGAAATTTAATATAATATAATATAGTATTTAGTTTGTCTAGTTTATTTTTGTCAGATTGCAATGATACCTTCAGATTGTACTATTCCATTTAAGAGGTTACAATTTTCTGTATGATTAACGTTTGCGATGGCAATCATAATTTATCTCAACTCATATAATAATAATATTTTATTTTAATTACACAAATTTCTTTACACTTCGATAATTAATCCAACGCATGATGCAGGTGTTTTGTTTATTTTAATTTTGTTTATGCCAATTTTTTTTAAAATTAATGAATAAATCAGGTTTCAGTCTAAATTAACAAATCAGTATCTTCATCTGAATATACAATTTTTTATATAAATATTTGATTTTTTACATTTTCATCTAATTGAAAAATAGTGAATGTCAATTTCATATATTCAATATGCAGTATATTTGTAAATGTCAAAATATTTCCTTTTTGGTCGAAAATTAATCTATGATATTTATTTTACAATATTGTGCTGTATCTATAATTTCTTCGGCAATATAACTTGGATTAATTAATTTATTTGTTTCTTATTGAAGTCGTTAAACATTTTTTTGTGAAATGTCAAATTTTTGTTTATGATTAATTTTAAATTCAATATGTCGCTTTTTTATTGTGATCTCTGATCTATAAGGTTTTGATGAAGTTTTGGTATCCGAAATAATTTGGTAAGCTAATCAAATAAATATAAATTGTAAATCTATTTATATAATTATTTTCATAAATTTTGACAAATGACATTTGACGATTTTCATGTCAACATTTATTCAAATTTATAAACATTGACTTTTAATTAGATTTAAAACCATAAGTTGTAATTTTGAATATAGCATATCATCTAATTTGGATATAAATGTTGGATATATCTATATATGTACATGTTTTTGAATTATATTTTCTGAACTGTCAATTTTTGTTTTTCAAAAATCATAAATCTTTTTTTCTCAAATTTTCCATAAATTATGACATTTGTCATTTTAGTGTTTTGTTTTTTTTTGGCCATTTTTTGTCAAAATTTTTTGAAAATATTTATTTTACAATATTGTTTTGTATCTATAATTTGTTAGGCAATATTTTCTGTAACATAACTTGTAATAATTAATTTATTTGCGTCTTATTGAAGTAACTCGTTAAACATTCTTTCTTTGTGACATGTCAAAATTTTGGTTATGATTATTTTTAAATTCAAGTGCCGCTTTTTTATTGTGATCTCTAATCTATAAGGTTTTAATGAAGTTTTGGTTTCCGAAATAATTTGGTAAGCTAATCAATTAAATCTAAATCATAAATCTATTTATATAATTATTTTCATAAATTTTGACAGATGACATTTATTTTTTTTTCATGTCAACATTTATTTAAATTTTTAAGCATTGATTTTTAATTAGATTTAAAACTATAATCAGTGATTTTGCATGTAGCATTTCATCAAATTTGGATATAAATGTTTGATATTTCTAAATATGTACATGTTTTTGAATTCTATTTTTTGAAATGTCAAATTTTTTTTTCAAAAATTATATATCCAAATTTCCTTTAATTTTGACATTTGTCATTTTAGTGTTTTGTTTTTTTTTGGTCATTTTCTGTCAAAATTTTTAGAAATTTATAAAAATTATATATTTATATTTCAAATTTACTTTTCAAAATTTCCTATAACCTAAGTTGGATATATATGCACACGATGAGCCATTAAAATTTAAAATCGGTCCAGTAGTTTGGGCGTCCATCGCGAACCAACATCGTGACACGAGATTTATATATATATAGATGTATAAATATACAGTCGGTTAAGTAAGAGCGTGGCCGACTTTAACGACAGTTAATGAAAGATTTTGGTCTAATTCTTTCGTGAGCCGATAAAGTGAAGTTTTGTCCTTGATGCATTATCAAAAAAGGTTTAGTTGCAGTTGATCTTTTGAGAAAAAATTACGTTAAACGCCATGAGTGCTAAGTTACGCGTCGCGCTACGAGGCTGCGCCCTTTTGCATGCACCTAAAAGGTACCCAAATGTAGCAATCAGCTGCTGCTAAACATATGAGAAAGTTGAAGGCATTTGTGCAGAATTCGATACACTTATATAAAGTTGCTAGAAAAGTCGATGATTTATCAGAACGTGGTTCAAATAAAAAAGAAGAAAAAAGAACAGTGAATGGGTATTTGCGGAATCCTGCTTTAACACTGCAGCAAGGACGAGCAAAATTAATGGCAAAATGTTTAGAAATATCTACAAAACTATCTGAACCTTTCTTCGTATTCATGATCTGAAATGGCGCAACACAACGGGGAAGCCTCTGACGACTGAAAAACATGTGCTTCTTTTCCGCTTGAGCACATGAAAATACTGTTAGAGATTTTGAAAATGTCATTTTCACTGATGAAAGTTTTATATGAGCACGTACTGCCCTCATCGAGCCGTTAAATTAAAATACGAGTCGTCAGACTAAAATAATCCGTAAAATTAGTAAAAAGCAGGCGTCGGAGATGCCAGGCAATTGTCGACTCCGGTGGTGACTGGACACATATTGACCAAAATTGCATCCTTGCTTTTAACGTATACAATGCATATATAAATATTAAAGTTTCATAATTATTTTTATAAATTAACCCGGCCACGCTCTTACTTACATACCGACTGTATGTTAAATTTTTATAATTTTGATGTTGCAATTTTTGATGTATAATTTTGTCTTCAGGGCAATACATCAATTAAAAACTTGTATGACTTTAAAACATTTTTATTGTTTCCATACGTTTCGACACATTGTTTTGTGTCATCTTCAGTGGACTCTAGTTTGAAAGCGCAGATAGAAATTATTGATTAAAACTAATATATAAGAAAGTGATATGGTATGAACTTACATGTAATTGTAATTATAATTATAATTTCATAATTATAATTGTTCACAATGCACAATAAAACCAATTCTTGTCACTTTAAATTGAACAATATATAAATTTTAGAATGAGTTTTTTATGAAATTGCAAAGTACATCTCGCTATTCCGTATTCCGATGCAAGAGTGAAGCCTAAATGAACACCAATGTGCACACCACGTGTTAAAAGTTAGGTACAAAGCACACGAACTGACCAGAGAATTTAAGGTTTGACAACTAGAGGAGGGTACATATAGTAAAATATAAAAATATGACAATAGAATCGAGATAAAAATTAAAAGAAAAAGAAAAATTAACATTAAAATTAATATAATTAAAACGTCGATCAGGATAGGTAATTATTTTAAAAGTATGATTTTCGAGACATTGTTTAAAACTACTTGGTAATTCTCACACAGTGAAGAAGTATCCAATCTTTTGTTTATGCTATTTTTAAAAAGGTGTATGAAACATGATTCTGAAAAGCGTCTCTGCGATGTATTCGACTCGTGATATAAAATTGTGGCAACATCAAAATTGAAAATATTATTGAAACTTTGGATGTAGTCAGTTATCATTGTTTGATTTTGATTTTTATTTTTGGAGTTGGTATAGTGTTGTCTAAGACGTTTTTTTAGATGTTGTCCAGTTTCGCCAATATAAGTGGCCTCACAATTTGTACT